TTTTGGTAGTGCTGAAAACTGTAAGACTTTTACCGATTACATTTTTTAGTTTGAAGTTTTAAATATATCCTGAAGCTTAAGAGATTCAAAGTTTAAGAACATTCTATGAAGAAGAAATATTTCCAATTTTTATTTATGTTTTGTCAAACTTAAACGTTTTAGATCATCATACAAAGTAGAATTTTGAACAGAACCCTGTTTTTTCCAGAAAAAAAAAGCTATCCAAACCAACTTTGGCCTGTGTGGAAAAAAAATAATTCCCCTTAACCCTAATAACTGGTTGTTCCACCTTTCATCACAACAACTGCCATAAATCATTTGCAATAACTAGAAATTGGTTGTTATGCTGCCAGGATGAATTTCAGTCCCCTCTTTTTAGCATAATTATTTTAACTCTGTGACTTCAGAGGGTTTTTGAGCATGAAGTTTAAGGTTAAGCAAAAATATCTTATTCAGATTTAATTTGAACATTAAGTAGGCCACTCCAAATCCTTCATTATCTTTCTTTTTTTTTATTGCTGGAAATTCTCTTTTAAGATTTTCTTCTAGAGATGAGTAATCATGATAACACCAGCTGTCTGGGTCCTGAAGCAATAAAGCAGCCAGAGACCATCACACTTCCACCACCCCATATTTCACCGTCTATATGATGTCCTTATAAAAAAAAACTGCACTCTGCACCAAGTTTACTTGTATTTGAACAACCAGAAACAACAAACATGAATCATTTCATACAAAATAATAGGAGTGTGGTTTTTTTTGTTGTTCTTGCCCTTCAACAATGTCCTTGTAATCCTTTCCAGACTAGTTGTTTATTAATTTAATTTTTCAATCGAAGCATGATGTAATTTTTTCACCTGCTTTGTATGAGGTGGGTTATATCTAAATGATTTCTTAAATCTACAAGTTTGGAAGTAATTAGACCTGGGTGTGGTTGGCGAGATAGAATATGATTACACTTTACAATTTACATCAACAATGCAATTACTTGTAGAGCTTTAAATCGGGTTAGGTTTAATAATTTAAATATTTTTTTTAGAAAAAACTTTCATTTTCTGTTCATTCAGGTTATCTTTGTTTAAAAAAAAATTGAGAGATGATTTAAAACACTAAAGTAAGACAAACGTAAGAATAGAAGAAGCCTGTAAGGGAGCAAATATGTTCCACAGGACTGTAGATAATCAGTGAAATATAGATGTATGTGTAGTGTTTTTATGACAACGCTGTCCTTCTTTCAGGGACCCACGTTATGGAGGGGTCAGGACGTATGGTGGTGACTGCAGTTGGTGTCAACTCGCAGACTGGAATCATCTTTACCCTTCTTGGGGCTGGTGTTGAGGAAGAGGAGAAGAAAGAGAAGAAAGGTAAAATCATTATATCCCTAAACATGAGTCATTCTGAGGCTTTGTTTGTGTTTTTAATTTTTAACAGTGCTACTCTGCAGCATATCCTTCAAATCAGCTTTTGTCATTTCATTACCTTATGTATGGAAAGTCTGTGTAGCTCGTCGTGTTATATACGTGTTTTTTAAGTATCTGATACATTTTAAGCACTAAGGTATAACCACAGGGATTTGTGTGATACACTGCATTGCAGTCAGATGAATGTGTACTCGTACTGTATGAGATGAGTCTTGGTGGTACTGATGCAGTATCCAGGTTCTGTGGGTTCAGGTGCATCATTGTCCTTACTCTCTTATTGTTCCAAATTTTCCTCGAAGGAGAGGCAGTGGAAGATGGACATCAGAACACAGGTAGAGTATCACCTTTCTCTGACCCCTGGGAGTTGTACCTAGCTATTCCTACATGCGATTCCCGATAAATCCCACTGATTACTCACTCCTTTCCTGGAGCCGAGTGCCACTCCTCCAACTTAAAAAGAGATATTTTATAATCACAACACTGCATCTTTTTAAGTGCTAACAGTTAACATATTTCATAGAGCATAACCCTTTGCTGCGATATAACAAGCTTTGCACTCATCAAACTAACTAGCTCACGTCGGTCCTCTTTGAACAGACTGTCAGACTCATCTCAGTGCTTTGTTATAGAACAATGACATGAGTGTGACAGCCTTGCAGGTGTACAGAACATGTACCGGCAGCAGAAGCAGATTTAAACATTGTCGCCTCTATTCTTGTTTAGCACAATCCATTAAGGCCGTCTGCTCTGCTTTGAAGCTTTTTTTTTTTTTTTTTACTGTTACTGCTTTCTCAGACTAAATGTAGTCAGTAAATTTAAAATCTAATATCTCTGGAGGTTTTCTCGGATCTGAAAACGAACAAATTCTGTGTCTTTGTTTCACTTGTAGTTTAATTAAAATTAATTGGCAACATTTTATTTCAATTTAGACAGTCTTCTAGCTTCCATTCCTTGTTAATTCGTTTTAGACTGAAAGATCCCAGTAGTCTTAAAACTGATGAATTAATTGTTACTTTTGATTATAATCAAACTGAGACCGAAACATATTTTAGTTCAGCATTTTTCTGTCAACAGTGCAGAGTTGACATAAGTAATAGAATGTGTTTGGAAAAGCACAGTTACTTATTAGTTACTGAATGGCCACTATTCTTTTTCTTTTTAACCAGGAGAAATTATAGTTCATTCTTTATTGCCAAATAAAGCGTTGTCTGTTAATTGGTTGGTTATGCTATTTTTCCTTGTTTTATTTACTTTACATTGAAGATTTTGATTTTTAATCTGGTTATTTGTTGGTTATGCAACAAATGGAATTATGATTTGTGATGCTTATAGACATTACATGAATAACATGGTTTGAAAAAGCTTATCTAAAACCAAATTAAAATGACCATGTAATCATTTAAACCTAATTGGACACATTCAGTATAATTATATTATTTACTACATCAACCAGTGTTAACTTTTACAGTTTATATATATATATATATATATATATATATATATATATATATATATATATATATATATATATATATACCTCCTCAGGTATATATATATGTGTATATTA